AATAGTCAACAGGGTCGCAAGAAGCGTGTGGAAAAACCAAGGTGCAAAATAACTGCCCATGAACTGAGAAAAGTCAAGCGTGCAGCTGCCAAGATGCCACTTGCCACCAGTTTGGCCGTATTTCAGAGCTGCAGCATCACTGGAGTGCCCAAAAGCACAAGGTGTGCAGTAGTCAGAGACATGGCCAAGGTAAGAAAGGCTGAAAGACGACCACCACTGAACAAGACACACAAGCTGAAACGTCAAGACTGGGCCAAGAAATATCTCAAGACTGACTTTTCTAAGGTTTTATGGACTGATGACACGAGAGTGAGTCTTGATGGGCCAGATGGATGGGCCCGTGGCTGGATTGGTAAAGGGCAGAGAGCTCCAGTCCGACTCAGAGGCCAGCAAGGTGGAGGTGAGTACTGGTTTGGGCTGGTATCATCAAAGATGAGCTTGTGGGGCCTTTTTGGGTTGAGGATGGAGTCAAGCTCAACTCCCAGTCCTACTGCCAGTTTCTGGAAGACGCCTTCTTCAAGCAGTGGTACAGGAAGAAGTCTGCATCCTCCAGGAAAAACATGATTTTCATGCAGGACAATGCTCCATCACACACGTCCAAGTACTCCACAGCGTGGCTGGCAAGAACGGGTATAAAAGTAGAAAAACTAATGACATGGCCTCCTTGTTCACCTGATCTGAACCCCATTGAGAACCTGTGGTCCATCAAATGTGAGATTTACAAGGAGGGAAAACGGTACACCTCTCTGAACAGTGTCTGGGAGGCTGTGGTTGCTGCTGCACGCAATGTTGATGGTGAACAGATCAAAACACCGACAGAATCCATGGATGGCAGGCTTTTGAGTGTCCTTGCAAAGAAAGGTGGCTATACTGGTCGCTGATTTGTTTTTGTATTGTTTTTGAATGTCAGAAATGTATATTTGGGAATGTGGAGATGGTATATTGGTTTCACTGGTAAAAATAAATAATTGAAATGGGTATGTATTAGTTTTTTGTTAAGTTGCCTAATAATTATGCACAGTAATAGTCACCTGCACACACAGATATCCCCCTAAAATAGCTCAAACTACAAATAAACTAAAAACTACTTCCAAAAACATTCAGCTTTGATATTAATGAGTTTTTGGGTTCATTGAGAACATGGTTGTTGTTCAATAATAAAATTATTCCTCAAAAATACAACTTGCCTAATAATTCTGCACTCCCTGTATGTTCACCTTCAGACTGGCTCTGAATGCAACCAACCATTCTTTCAGTCTGACACATTAGAGCACATCTGGAGTGAAGGGTCGAACCTTCCAGATGTGGAGTTGACATGCGTTTCCTCTTTTGTTGCGAGTATACTGAATAGCTCTTATTTTAATTGTAGAAGAGACGGTATCAGAATAATCTAGCATCGCTAACGTCAAACTCTGATTTCTTCTCGAAGGACCATGCAGCTATAAATAAGACCTGCCGTCATCCCGTATAATGATAATTGTGAATTTGATTAAATTACAACAAGCATGTAAAGTCTTTAATTTCAATTGTCCACAGAAGCTACCATATGAAAAAAATACTCAAGTCTTTGAGGTACCTTTCTATTGCACCAATTTGTGAAATAGATGTGTAGCTCAGCTTTTGTAAACGTTTAGGTGTTTTCTAATGAGCCTGCTCTCAGTGTGATGTGTAGGAACCTGAAACAGGAGGAACTAAGTAGGGATGTCCCGATACAACTTTTTCACTTCCGATACAATACCGATATTGTCTCGGCGTATGCGGGTGTTACGGCTGCCAGCCTGGCCAGCGGGATGCATGAGCCAGGATCACCCAGCCCTGGTGATCAAGCCTGACACCGCCCCTCCTCATCCTCTCTTCCGGGCTGCTGAGGAGCACAGCTGAGCTGAATCCTGCTGATGACCCACACCTGGGATAAAAAGGCTGAGCCTTCAGCAGTCTGGGAGGCAGCAGCGCAGGGGTTCTGCTGCCCTCCAGGCCTCGTTTTGGTTTTAACCCCTTCGTTTTGATGAGTTTTAACTGTAATAGTTTTACTCTGAGTGATCCAAGTGGATCTTTTGTTCCTGTCAACTTGGTTGACTCTGTTTTAAGGTTAGCTCTGCTTTAGTTTTTAGACTTTTATCAACTTCGTTGCGTTTTTAAAACACCTTCAGTTTAGGTAAAACTTTTAATAAAGTTTTAACCAGGTGTTTTATATAGTTGATCATTTGTCTTAACTGTTAAACTTATAGTGACATTTTCGTTTTGCATGATTTTAATAATGCTCGCCATCTGTTTGCACTTGTTTTTAGAACCTTTAACAATTAAACCCATTTCAGCTCCACTGTCGTATTTCTCATGTTGCCCCCTCCTTCACATTTTAACAACACACGTCGGGGACGTAACAGCGAGTACAAAACAAGCCACCACCTCTCTTTTCACCTGAACTGTACATTATCTAAACCAGTGGTTCCTAACCTGGGGGTCCCGATCCCCACAAGGGGGCGCCAAAACCTCTCAGTGGGTCGCCAGGACTTCTCCACTTTAAGGGGTTAAAACTTCATTTATTACTTGTTTATAGCCTACATTTTGCTCCTTTTTTTATGAGTGAAAAGTTTACTGATGTAAAGACAGGAAATAATTAGTACAGAAAGAGTAACACACTTTTAAGAACATTTTGCTCAGCTCACTGTTTTATTTTCAAGTGTCAAAAGTTCATTAGAGATAGGACTGGTGGATTAATCACAGCCTTTACAGTAAATAATCTAGTATAAACAGTAATATACACGTTTAAGTACATTTTGCTCAGTGTATGTTTTATGTGTCAAACGTTTATTGAAAGGAATGATTTATCAGTGTTTACAAGAAACAATGTGTTCAGAAAAGTAATACAAACTGTCAAGCACATTATGCTCTGTTTGGTTTTGTTAATGACTTTGTTCTGTACTGGAGCCTAATATTACTGGTATCTATTGAATCAAAGCATATTAAAATGTGCTTGAACAATTTTATCATTTCTTAATACTGTCTGTACTGGAAGAGAGAATGGGAGGGGGTCGTCAAAAATTTTACTGGTAAAAAACGGGGTCCCTTGGGAAAAAGGTTGGGAACCACTGATCTAAACTACACTGGCTGATCTGTGAGCCGTCTTTTCTGACTTCCTGTCCTGGTATCTGTCCTTATTTCTCATACATTAAGGTGCTGCTTTGATGAATAGCTCTTAATTTCACATGGATATGTGCTCTTTTACTGAAGGCGCAGTTCTGTTTTTGTATAAACAGTATAGTTGATTAAAAACTGGAGACATAGCTCTAGCTGCGTTTAAGATTTGTGACACTGAACGATCTCCCACGTGTAAAGGCTCTGAGTAGTTTAAGCTACTGCACTTTATTTAGATTTTAAAACTACACAGCGTGCGCACAATATATCCAGGTATGCCATGTGCCTTTGCAAATCGTATAAATAATCATGATGGGCCGCCATGGGCAAAAATGTTGTTCCCAGTCCAGCAACAGAACGGTTGATTCGGGCATCATAACATGCCAGAGCAGTTTTAAGCCCGATTCATGCTTCTCCGTCTGCGTCAGCGCGGAGACACGTCCTTGCGGGCCTGCCGGAGAGCTCCGCAAGGACGGACGGAGTCGAGCTCTCTTTTCTAAACATCCGTCAGTAGAGACGGACAACGCAAGCTTGTGATTGGTCAGGACGCCGCTGTCGTTTACACCACCGCCATTGCGCCCTCAAAAACAAAAAGAGAGCCGAGGATAACTAGCGGCAGACACGGAGCAGCTTGAAGAATACCTCGCGAAAAAACACTAAAAACATGAACGTTCAATTCCCCCGTGACTGGAGGAGTGACAAGGGTATCCGCGGGTCCTTAAAAAGTCTTAAAAAGTCTTGAATTAGCTTTTCCAAATTTAAGGCCTTAAAAATCCTTAAAAATGACAAATAGTCCTTAAATACAGTTTCCAAAGGTCTTAAATTTTCAAAGACCCAATAAACAAGATTATTTTATTTCTATAAATTTTTTATGAATTTCTAGTTAGTGTTCAGCATTTTTGGTGTATGATATTGTCATAAGCGGAACCGTACACATTCAGTTGGTTGTGAAAGGGGGCTATTTTTAGATGAGCACATTAGCTGGTTGAACTAGTGGGAGGTTGCGCCATGGGGAAGTGCAAGTTTAATGGTAACTGGATGGCTAATCCCATGTTCGTGATGTGGTTAGCACCGGTTCCAGGCAATAGCTGGAAAATAAAGCTTAAATTTAATTATAAAAACAGCTTAAGTTTGGTCTAAGTGGCCTTAAAAAAGGTCTTAAAAAGTCTTAAATTTGGCTCCCTTAAACCTGCAGATACCCTGGAGTGAAAAGATGCACAGCAAGCGTTTCATTTGTGGACGGAAGTAACAGGAAACGTGGGTTTAGAGGTGGCGAGCGCATGAAGAGGTGGAGGAGGATGAGAGACAAATTTGTCTGTTAAAAAGTCTCTTATGTACAAAAAACACAATATAAACACACGATCTTGGACCGGATACATGACAGGATACCACAGAACAGCGCTACGCCCTCTGCTGTCCTGCCGGGGTTAGGGTTAGAGAAGCATGAGAGCAAAACGCTTCCGTCAATCCGTGCGTGTCTGTCCCTCGCGGAGCTGACGGAGAAGCATGAATCAGGCTTTACTCCACAGCAAGACGGATGTGGGAATGTCCTCCTGTTGCACAGTAGCCTTTGTTACGTTTGTGGCCCGTTGGACCGCATTCCCTTGCACACCGGAGTGGACAGGCAGGGAGAAAAGAGACGAACAACACAAACAGGGAAAGAGAGGGAAGGGGAATGGAGGGACAGCAGTACACAACAGACAACAGAAAACAGACAGGAAGAACCGTAGGGTCCTCATAAAAACCTACAAGAATAAATGAAATAGGACCTGGTAAATGGTCCATATATGTAGGAATATGTACTACCTTGTGTGCGATCACCCAAGCAGGTTTAGGGTTTATTCTAAATAAACACAAACACTCACCTGAACAGCAGCCTGGTAGAACTTCTGTGAAAGCTCCTTCAGTTCTCCATGTTCAGCTGCATCGCCCTCTGCTGCTGATGTCGTGTACTGCTCCAGTTTATCCAGCTGCTCAACCTGCAGATTAGGTCCGGAAGCATTAAGGATCACTTCAGGGATGTTGATGAAAGCCGGGAAACAGCAGATGTGCGACGTAAGACATGCTAGATCACAAAGTCACATGAGAATGGCAAGATCACGCGTGATCTCACCAGTTCATGTGATAACAAGCAAGTAGAAAGAGGGCAGTATGTATCCAAAAGGTCTGTGGTTTACTCTCTGATCATTTTACCTCCAAGGTGCCACAGGTGATGATGTAATATTCACATTATTAAAGGTGCATTATGTAGAAATGAGGTAAAATGACATCCTGTGGTAAAAATAGTTACAGCAACCACTTTAAACAACTCTGGAGCTTAATGCCGGCCATCGCCGTCGACGCTGCGGTATTAGCTCGCAGGAAACACGGCATCCCCACTCTTACCCCTGCTTTCCACCGGAGCCGTCAGCAGCACGTTACTGCAGCAGCACGTCATAGCTGCCGATAGGAACCGCTGTGGTCAACAGAACCTTTTCCACCGGAGCAGTCAGCAGCGCGAGTCGGCCGCGTCTCAGGAGCGGCATGTCGCGGCCTTTACGCGCCGGTTCTATTTTCTACGCGCGACGCCTCTGAAACGGGTCAAGTTCGACATTTTTGGGGAAGGAAAGACAGGAAATCGGACGCGGAAACGGAGCAAAGCTTTTCAGAATAAAGAACGTACTGCCTTCCGGTTGCTTTACTTTAAAAAAAAGTTACTGTGTGGCCCCGTGAGAAGTTATCACCTAGCTAGCGGTCTCCTTTGTTTTTCAGGTCCGTATTGGCGATTATAAAACGGACAGAACATAAAACACAACCCTTTTGGAGCCATGTTGTAGTTTTCTCCTGCTTGTTGTTTTGTTTACTGACGAAGTCACTCGTGTGACTTCGTGCTCTGTCGGTGACGGCTGCTCCCCTGCTGCTTCGCGTCTCGTGGGAAGGGCCAAGCAGCAGCTTACACGAGCAAGACGTGCTGCTGACGGCTCCGGTGGAAAGAAGGGGTTACTGATGGCAAACTGTAGTTACGTCCCTCCTTCCTTTATTTTGAAAGGAGAAAAACTGACAACCCCTGCAGCCAGCTGGATATCAAACATGTTTCAGTATAACCTTCCTTCCAACATGACCGAAACAGTAGACTCTTGGGATGTTCTCACTGTATTCTTACATACTGCACCTTTAAGCTTCTGGAAATCTGCACGTCTTTTACTTTTGAAATTTTCCAAATGCCTTACATTGCTCCCGTGTTTGACTTCCTGTCTGGCCTGAGCTGAACTGCTGAGCTTGATGTGTTCTGGAAGTGTAGAGCATAAAAATAACCTCAAAGTGTAGATTTAACGGAGCGACATGACAAAAGTGACATTTCTGGAGTGTTTTGTTATCTTCAGAAGAATTTAGACCTGCTGCATGTCTGCAGAAAACACCCAGATTCTTGTTTTTTATTCACATCTATTTAAAGGTTTTGTGTAAATCACTTCTGACTGGATCCCTGATCAGTTAGGGCTGATGGACCAGCGGGACGCAGGAACTCAGTTTAGTTTCTTTTCTGAGAAAACGATACTTTTATCTGCAGGAGACCTGCTGGATTTTCCACAGAGGAGGATTTAGGAGCTCTGTTAGCTTCTGGAACAGCCGCTTCTGGTTGGGAATGTGGTCACGCTGCACGGTCCACATTTACACCTGGTCGGTTCTGATGGGAGCTCCAGCTGGGACACTTTCAAAGGTGGGATGCCTAAATTTACACCTCAGCCGGTTCTACAGCTTCTGGAGGTTTTCTCCGTTTGCTCTCAGGATGTTTTAGAGGCAGTTGCTGCGCGCGTGCAAAAGATCTGCTTCTGTTTAAAGCCAGAGAGCGTGATTTACAACCAGAGGAGCAGCTGGCCCAACAGTCATTTAAAATACGTCAACAAGAGCAACGAAAAGCCTCTGAAGCACTCCGAAGGTCACAAGTTAAAAGGCAGGTGATTCTTTAGCGTGTTTGAAAAGATTGGCTGATATGAGCGAACAGATTCCAGCCATGTTTAACTCTGAGCTGCCTGACCCGCGTCGGCCTGATCCTCTGGTCGTGGATCCAATTATGTCATGAAATGAGCATCAGGATCTGAAGTGACCCAGAGCTAGATGGGATTTGATTTTTTTTGCCTAAGTTTGTAACTATATTATAAATAAAAGTACCTGTATGACATCTGGGGCGTGTAGCTTTGACTCTTAAATTATTTGGTGTAAAAGAGGTCGGTGGTAAGAGGGTCAGGAGCCAGCAGCGCCTTCACCCCAACCCTGTTTGACAAGTTCATGAATGATAGAGGAGGAGGAGACAGCAGGGAGCTGTTGGAGCCCCTGCAGGGGGACGCTCTTGGGAGCACACGAAGACAGGTACCACCCCGAGCCCCCCCCAGGCTCTGTGGGGGCATGTGTGGGGATTGCTTTCGCTGCTTCCTGCAGTCTGAGGTAGTGGGTGGAGCTAACGCGGTAATCACTAGTGATGAAAGTGAGTTTTAATCTGGTGGCTGCGATGCTTTTGTTGCTTTGAGGGGAAGTTGGTAATAATTTAGTCTGAATGGCCTCGCTCTCTTCCACTGCTTTAAAGGGGCATTATGGAAGTTTGACAACCAAAACATGTATAGAAATAATAAATGTCTTCTTCATACATTCTCCTGCAATGCCCTGGTGCTGTAGAATGAGCCCTGGCATTTTTACTGTGATTGCCTGTTTTTCTGTAAAATCACAGAAAAAGAGAGATGCTCGGGTCGAGCAGGCTGCTTCATGCGCCTTCACGCTCAGGCATAGCCCGTAGCATTTGCTATCAGTAGCTTTAGCAGCAGAGAGAGAGACAGTGCCACATTGTCGCTGTTCGTAACGCCTAGTGACAAAGCTAGCTACATTTCTGAGGACCCTTAGCTACTTTCTGTAGAACTTTCTTCTAGATATTTCCTGCAAATAAGCAACAAAATAGCCATTTTCACTCCGAACTGTTCTTTGAACGTTGTTTCAGCTGTCATCAAGGATATAAACGTTACAGATACAAAGGGATAAAAAAGATGTGGGTTCAACTTTCATTTTGGAACAATTTTTCAAGCAAGGGAAGGGAATGATCTGAGCATGCAGGAGGACTGACCCATCATAAACCTTTGTCGGCTGTGCTGAAGAGAAAGGTACAGAACCAAATTATTTCATTAATTAGCTGCGCGTTCTCCTGTCCTCTGTCCCCCGTCCACCTCCCCACACACACGCACACACACACACGCACACGCACACACGCACACACACACACACACACACACACACACACACACACACACACACACGGGACTGTCTCAGCTGTTATTTTCGTAAAGGAGTGTGCACGTACGGCATGCGCGCCTCGTGCATGAGCCTACTATTGAAGCTGCTGTTACGCTTCTGGCCTGAGGGGGCAATCGCGAGCACAAAAATTCAAAACTCCGGAAAGTCCCTTTAAAAGTGAACACCCGAACAAGAAGACGTTACCTCTGCCAGGACAAAAGGTCGCTCCTTCAGAAGACTGCAGACTCTGAAGCGACACAGTCCCGTGATGAGGAGGGTGTAGTGAGGCTTGGGCCAGTTGCTGCCCACCACCTGCACCGCGATCCCAGCCGTCCCGATGCTACAGAAACAGAAAAAGTTTTTCAATGACTCTTAACAACGTTCTAACATAGCGGAGCTATAAATATGGTGTGGAGATAAAACCTCCACCAATAACACGGCTCAGTCCAAAAGCAACTATTGGACCATCCGGTTGTCGGTCTCACCGAACCGCCGCACTTCCCTGGGTCCTCCACTCATCACACACTCACGTGTTCAGCACCAGAACACAGCTGGTGTGAGAGGTTCTCCGTTTAGTAACATCAGAGGAGGAGAAACAGCCGGCTGCTACCGCTTCAGCTTCAGGACAAACTACCAGAGTCCCAAAAAGAAAAACACCATCTGGATTCACGTGCAACAAAAGACGTTTGGACCTAGAAAACAATGGCTGGTGTTTAACGCCATCTCGTTTCCTCTGGCATCGTGGGTTTTTGGTTCCAGCAGAAGTTGTCATTGGCTGTGAACGGTTGAATTTAAAATGACGACTTTTGTCGTCAATGGCAGTTAATGAGTTAAAAACCCAGCTTGTTCTGTAGATTCACAATATCAGCTTTAATCTTTAAAAACGTGAATTCTGAAAAATCTTGCTCTGAGAAATAATTTAAATGGAATTATTTTTTGCCAATATTATTCCATGTAAGTGAGAAAATGTGCCTTAATTGCTTTCTGGATTTATGGTGGTTCTGAAAACTTTCTACATGCTTCCCGTTCACCAAGTCACACACAAACAGCATTTTCCCATCTGATTAGGAAAACTGCGGATGGGAACGAGCGGTTCCAGATTCAGCTCACTGGGGAAAAATGAAGCACAGCCTTCATTACGACTTATACAACCACATTAATCACCGGTCCGCTCTCCGCGAGGATTTAAACTCCCAGAACTTATTTAGTCTGGTGATCAGCTGAAAGAGACAGGAAAGCAACTGCAGCGGTGTGAAAACACAAAAATCTGAGTTTTATACTTTTACACCAAACAAACAGAATTATTTGCGAGCTGCAGCACCACCGTGTTTCCTGTTGCCTGAATCAGGAATTTGTCCTGGAGCCGAAGCCTTCAGCATTATAAAAACAAACAATGAAACTTGCAAAGAATATGTGCAAATATGCAAAAAGTAGCAAAATATTCATGTTGTGGAGATTTGTTTGTTTGGATGTGTGTGTGTGTGTCTACTTGTCTTTATATGTTTAAGGGGACACATTTAACTCCAACCTTCACTGTGGGGACACTTCCACATTGTGGGGACATGTTGCTGGTCCACATAATGCTAAGCTCACTAAAACTTAATCGTGATCAGCTGAACAGAAGAGGCTGCGTCCGATAAGGACTCAGAAGCTTCCGTTTGTCTGAAAATCTGACAGAACGTCTCAGATTTAGGCCTAATCCACACGTAGCTGGGTTTTTTAAAAACGAATATCCGCCCCTCCAAAAACTTGCATCCACACCACCTCGTTTTAAAAAAAAACTGTCCACACGTACCCGGATAAATACGTTGTTAAGGACATGCCAGACCTGTAGGCGGCAGTACTTCCCCCGTTCTTAACCTCGTCCTTCGTCTGTGGTCTTCCGCAAGGAGCAGTAATTCCGCTTGCAGAAACAAACAAGCAAAAAGCGCTTGGACAATTGATAAAGCGAGCGCAGCTCTGAGGGCATCCATGCTGTCGACTAGTGTAAACACAGGTCGCACACGTGATGTCAGCATTTTTTTGTCGCGGAAAGTGACGTTGCGGACCTTAAAACTCCGGTTTTGTCTGTCCACACGCAGACGCCCAAAACGGAGAAAACGCAGATCTTCACTTTGGCCGGAGTTTTTAAAAAGATCCGTTTTCGTGTGAAAAAAACTCCGTTTTCAGGTGGATGACAGGCCAAAACGTAGAAAAATATCTACGTTTTGGCAGATCCCCGGCTACGTGTGGACAGGGCCTTAATCTGGTTTCCTCGGAGTCTTGAGTCCATGGCTGGACCTGATTCTGGGAGTCATCAAATGGATCCTCTAATCGCTTTTATTCAGTTATACGATGCAGAAGGAAGCTCACTTAGAGCCCTCCGACAAACAATTGTTACAGCCATGAGTCATTTTTAACTCTACTAGAACATGAAAAACTGCCAGATTTCTCAGATTTGACATTATTGAGGCAATATGAACTCGAACCACCCAGAAAGCTGCAGCTGCAACTCAGTAACCAGGCTGATTCCAGCACAGATAAGAGTTTAAAGTTCAGTTGTGAGCCTGCTGGGCTGCAGACAGTTCTGGAACAAACCAGTGACCCCAGAACAAGTACAACCACAGGCCACAACATAAGGCCTGCGAAAAAGCTTGTGCTTTTATGAATACACTAAGCTTAAGGGAAAAGGTTTGACCAGTCTGCATCTTATAAACCGGAGGTGCACTGGTTCCAGGTGCTCAGGCCGATATCCATTTCAGATTTTTGTGCAGCTCCAACATGAAGATTCTGATTTATGTTAAAAAGAAGAATGCAGAATAATTATTTTCACCAATTTCAAATCGACATGATAATGATTCTGGAAGTGAATAAAATGACGTTAGATCACAATAAGCACTTAGTGAGTTCACTGACTGGGAAAATGTATTTTTGACATTACATTGAACCAGTGCAAAAAATATTAAAATCTGAATTTCTGATGACTGATTGAACCGATCGGCTGAGTCTGATCACCAAGTGATTTTTCTTATGAATGATGTTTAATAATATCTTTCCTCTGAGAGGATCCAGCTCACATCTGAGAATCAAAACATAAACAAACTTGGTTTAAACAATGCAATTATCCTGTTTTACAGACACAACGTGTGTTTTAAACAATTTTAAGAGAAGTTTTATGGACTGGAAACACGATTATCTTTATTAGATAGACTGAATATCAGCGGGATCTGTGTTCATTTACCTGCAGAGGTAACTTTATCTGACTGATCGATGACAGAGTTTAGCTAAAGCTGCACCTGAGGTCTCGGACCTTAAACAACGAGCATAAACAGGTGTAAATAACATAAATCAGGTTAGGGTGTACTTGTGTAAGGCGGGGAGGTCGTCGGTGTCCTGCTCGGGGTCTCTGCTGTTGGGAATCACTCCTATGATGGTGCTCTTCAGCGAGGTGCCCTTTAGCAGCCGCTGCCCGACCAGCTGCATGTTCCGGGGAGAGTCTACGCTGAAGCGGACTGTGGAGCCCGGGAGGAGCACCCCTTCGTGGGTCAGCAGGAGCGGCAGACGGCTCGGTATCTGAATCCCGCCACTGGAGGCCATAACGCCGAGGTTTTACACCGACGCAGGTCGCTGTTCGCGACAGAAATCCTAAAAGTGCGCACTTGTCTTACTGTCAAACAATTTTGAATGCGTCACTTCCGGGCAAGACTTTCAAAATAAACCCGCAGCGTAGAAACCTCTAGACTACGGCAAATACCGAGGAACAAAATTTATGCTCCGACATAAAAGGCAAAACACCTGAAGTTGACGTTTCTGTCCAAACGTGAAGGTTTCTGACTGTGTAATTAATATCGTTTTTATTATAGAAATTTCTCACATGAAAACATTTTTTTCTTAATACAAAAAAGAGCTCAATAGAAAAACAATTCTTTCTTCATGAAGTTTTAAATAAATCTTTACGTTGACCAAATTATTATTTTTATTATATCATAATTTATTCTTTCCTCTTGAATTTTGTTTCTCTGATAGTTTATTAGCTTTTTAATTTAATACCTTTTTGCAATGTTCCAATGGTTGCAAATAAAGTTTGTCTTAAATGTTGAGAGAAATGTTTTTGTAACTGTGATATTATAATCAGTCACATAATAAAAAAAAGGCTGGAAACTGAAATTTTGATGAAAAATAATGTTTTATTTTTGCATTCCTGTCATAAAAGTATTAGCACACAGCATTTTACATTTCCAAAAAATAAATATCTAATACTTTGTGTTTTTTTTATCTGTTTCAGTAATCTATTAGACAACAAACAACATGTTTACACACGTTTCTCTGTTAGGAATGCTGTTTTTTTCATAAGCTGCTCTTATGGTTCCAGAACACAACCAGACATTTCATATGAAGCACAAAACAAATGCACTCTATGTATAAACCATCATCAGCATTTTCCATTTATCAAGCAGATTATTTTAGATGTTTTGCATTTAAAAAACCATTTCTGTCTGATAAAACCAACAGTTACCAGAAAAATCATCTGAAAGTCTTCCTCCTGTGGTTGAAACAGACCGGCAGAGCTTTGGTGTAAATAGCTTCATGAAAACAGAAATCTGACTCATTAATATTTAACCCGACACGAGGAGAAACAAAACACCTCTAGTCACGAGCGTGGCTGAGTAAGTACCTCCATATGTTGAAAACTATACTTCTGATTTTACTTTGTATTGAATTTTTAATTCCACTTGTGTTTTCTCTTGAGGAAATCAAAAAACACAGAAGTTTTAATTTGGACAGCTTCAAAACCTGACCAATTTTTCTTTGTTACTTTGGAATTTGTGGAAACAAAATTTTCAGTGGTATAAAACTCTGGCCCTCCAGAGCCACTGTCCAGCATGTTTTAGTTGTTTCTCTGCTCCATTAAAGCTGATCTGTGGGTGACTCAGGCTTCTGCACAGCTGCTGAACAGGCGAACCAACCATTGATTCAGGTGTGTCAGAGCAGACAAACACCTAACCCATGCAGGATAGGAGCCTTGGAGGACCAAGGTTGTACCCTGCTGGGTTACTTGAGGGTGATTCAGAAACCAACTCTCGATCAGTCACTGTAAAGGAAACAAGCAAAGGAAAGCCAAACAGTAACATGACATAAATGAGTCCTGCAGAATAAATGGACCGGACCAGTTTGACATTATTTACAGGAACTGAACCTTATGAATCAAGGTGAAGTCTCCACATGCAGACACATCATCCTTTAAAAAGAGTGTTTGTTGGTTCAGCTCCTGACTGAATACTTTCTCTGTGGCTGGAAAAATAAAAATAAAAATGCTTCTAGTTAACACATCATAATAAACTCCAACGGTTTAACCCTGAAAAGGTTCAGTTTCATATCCTTCATTAGAAAACATCCTCTGTAATAAAATTGTAAAATAAACCTTAAATGAAAACATTTATTTGGTCCAAATTTGACAGCAAATCTCTTCTCAGGAAGCTGTTCAGTGGGTTATGAAGTAAATTCACTCCAATTCAATCAGTGAAATGATTTATTATAATAACCTAAAAAAAGGACCATAGCAGCGGTTTTAAACATCATTTTTTAACTTTTCTATGTTTTGAGGCAGCTGAGGACGGCATGCTTGGAGAGCTTTATAAACACATTTTGTTTTTCACCATTCTCTATTTTTTAAATATCCACTATTTTCTTGGGTTGTAACCGGGACCAGGAGGACACATTTCATTCCACCTCATGTTTGACGTGTTGAAATGACAAATAAATAATCTTTGAAAAACTCAAATCAAGCCAGCGTTGATTTCTTAGAATGTTCTGGGTGACTGACAATCCTCACCAGAAAATACAGGAACACCCAAAAGCGTCAGATTTATTCTAAAGCAAAAGCAATAATCCTAACTTTAGAGAGAAGTGGGGCCAGTTGGTTTGTTGCTTTTGTGACAAAGTTTGGAATGTTAATAGAAGATCCGTTGGAATGCTGATGGAATTCCATTAGATCTGTTAAATTCCCCAAACTTATATTTCTGTTGAAATTTTAGTAACAAATCATCACAAATGTAACAAAAAGGATTTTGTGGAGTTTTAAAAGGTCAGTGCAAAGGTGGCAGAACAAAGGCAAAACACACCGACAGTATGGCACACATGAGAAAATGGTGTTTTCCCGTGTTTTTTCTATTGCACCATCCTACATTTTCCCCGAGCAGCTGTGTTTTACAGAATCAGCTCTTTAAGCTCATTTTTATGCTTTCTTCTTTTCTACATGGACATCCAGGCTTCTGTAGCAGTCATTCTTTACTTTTATATCAGGATGTTCGTGTGTGACTCATCGATCAAGTAGAAAATTGAGCCTAATCAGTTGGTCTCTCATTTTAAATGGTCATTAATTTTTTCACCACTCAGAAGTGCATATCTGCTGCCGCTTGACATAAACTGGAGTCTCCAGTCTCTTTAAAACGTGAACTCTGGATACTTTAGGTATTATATAAAAATCCTGCTGTCATAAAAGCTTTTAATTTATTAAAATAAATATTTCTGAGGTTATTTATAAATTATGTATGCTGCTGTTGTGGACATACCACAGTTCCTCAGCAGTTCCTTATGGCGTGTGCACATGGCTGTTTTCTCTCCATGGCCGTCTTCTTGGATTTGATTTGCAAAAATAAAATGAACAAAAGTGTAATTAAGACACAATTTAAGACAGGAAATACAGATATGAAGTACCACATATTACTATTACCACCATGTTTTATAAGATGCATGTTAATAAGAACTCATAATAAATGTATAAATGTGTTTTTCTTATAATGATTTGATCAGTGCCATAAAAACTCAGGAACTCTTAAATCAAACTTGAAAAGTCTGATAAAAACGTTTTTGGGCGAATGGAAAGCTTGGACGAAAACACAAACAAAAGATATAAATAAACTTTAAGACAGCGTCTAATCGTTTGAGCACGCGTGTAAAAGTTTCTATAAATAATGAGATGTTTAGCGACTTGACAAAGTCTCTTGTTCAACGTTCAGCTGAAGCTCCTTTTTAAGAATCTGTCTTCTGTTCTGCTAATAAACAAATATTTACGCATTTTTTAGAGACAAGTTACCAGAAACACGCCATCAGTTTCAGATGTCATGAAGATGGACACGCATCTGTTGTCCTGACTGTCAGAAGTGGAAATTCCCAAGTATCGGAGCGTCTTCTCAAGTCTTCAGCATGTCGGTTAGACAGAAAGTCCAGATGCTCACAAAGTACAAACGAGCATCATTTTTGTGTCTTCATCTTTGGCCGGTCGAGCCGTGCCAAGGTTTTGAGTCAACACGACAGTTTTGGCTCCGTTTGAGAACAACTTGATGATCTTTCATGATGACCTCTCTAGTCGGAACAGAGATGTTATTCCTAATCTCTGGGAGGGACCAACAAGGAAACGTCACTCTGCTGGCCTCTTCTCGGCCTTTTGGATGGACGTTTTATTGCCTCTCCCCAAATGGGAAACTCCGCAGTCTGAAAAACAGAGGAAAAGGATGGATGATGAAAACTTTAATGTCAGAGAGTGAAAGACAAATCTGCTGGGAATATTTATCAAAGGTTTATTGTTGCCTTCTGGTCTTGATTCATCTTATTGCCTTCACATCCGTATCAGCCATGTGTTACTGGGAACTCAGTGAACACCATTTTGAAGGATATTTGTTAAATTTGATGGATCAGAGTTGTTGGCGACTCCTCACACCCTTCCAGTGGAATGTTTGATCTCCATCCATGATTGGGAGCGAGACCACCCATTTCCCAGAGTTCCCAAGGAGTTCCAGACCAGAGAGTTCTGGGTCTGCCCCCTAATCAGAACCACCTCAGCCAACTCCTTTTGATGAGGAGGAGCAGCGACTCACCTCTGAGCTCCTTCTGGATGTTGGAGCTCCAAACCTCATCTCCTGGGTCTCCTAGTTGAAAACCAACTAAAACGCTTCTTTTTCTATTATAAGTTTTCTAATAATAGTGGTCAAAGGTTACGATACTAGATCACCGCCAATGTGTATAAATACATGTACCTTGTTATTATTCATCTTCAAATTATTCTCCTAAGTGCTGGTGCTGCCGAAACAAGTGAATATCCCCACTGTGGGATCAACTAAGTCTATTCTTTTCTATTCTGTAGCTTTCTAGGAGGGTTTTGTTTTACCTGACACCAGGTGTTCTAAATCCAGCTGACCCCCAAAGCTGAAATAAAAAAGATATTTTATAGCTTTCTTTAAAAGCTCCTTACGCTTCAGGGTACTCAGCATTTAGAAGATTAGGATCTGACCTAGAATTTCACCCACGTGAGACAACAGGCAGCAGAACACGTCTGCAGACAGCACCAGGAGCCGCGTGTTCGCCAGGTGTTCAAGCCTCACGCAGCAGACGCTGTGCAGCATCACATCCTCACGCTGACGGGCTGTCATGTTCAGATAGATCCCTCGAGAGGGTTCAACCATGTTCCTGACCCTAACTCGGGTCATGAACTTTAACAGCCTGTTCTGCTCCTGTCATACCTGTCTGCAGCTCTGGCCACGCCCACATGCATTCCTCCTGTAACCGGACCTCCGTTTAACAGTTTCTTCCCTCCGTGCAGCGATAAGCTCTCAGCTTAAAGCTCCATGAGCAGCTGACATAAATTCCTGATTTCCAGGCAGCTGTATTCTCCCCACAGCGGAGCTCTGCGGATGCTTCGATCTCCAGTTCCTCTCAGTTCACACCCACTCGCTCAAGCCTGCTGATTGGCTGTCAGTAAACCCACACCTGTGGCGTCCACCTTCAGAGAACCCTGGAAAACACCCTACGACGTTGTTTACTGGATGTCCCGAAATTCATGAGCTGTGCCGCGTCTGCTACAGACCAGTCAGAGTGCTCTGACTGGAGCCACCAGCTAAACCCGCTGCACGCTCCGCTCCCATTGACGGTTTAAAATGAAACTTTTTAATCATCACTGGGTTGCTGTGCATGTCTCGGGTCCAATCGGAAGCCGGACTGTTACAGCCTCCCCGTAGCAGCAAATCACCACAATAGACCACATGCAAAACCAATTTGAGCACGTTCGATGTTTAGTTGTCACCCCGTGTTAATAAAAGTCCCCTGAGCTCCTTCTCCTCTGTCAGCTATCAAAGCAATCTGCCGGCCACATCGTGTGAGTGTGGAGAGCAGAAACTCCAGGGAGTCTTGCTCGGATATCAGTTATCCTCTTTAAATCCTTCCTACAGGGCCTGTCAGGCCAGATTAAAGCCACAAAACGGTAGTAGAGCACAACACTTCTGATGAATCCTGCCACATGAGATCATATCAGGGCCTCTTAAACAGGAAGTGCCTCACATCCTGAGGAGGGATGACCCCAGATCCTCTAAAAACAGCCATATCTGCATCCCACAAGACCACAAACCCAGTGTGTCAAGGCTGCTTCTGGTAATTCCCCCTGATTGGTCGATGACTGTGATTAATCATTGACTCTGTGTTTTTTTAAATACCTGCACCTGTTTTCTAAACACTGTCCAGTGTCAGCTTTCCAGGTTTTCTTCAAACTGTCCAACTTGTCAGGTTACAGATTAATACAGCTGTGCGGGAATCTGTAGAGGCTAAATGCGCTCAGATGGTTTGGCTAAAGTTGCAGCACGACCTAGAGCATCAAAGTACCGACTGATCTTTGATCACAAGCCCGAGAAGCACTTTCACAACATAACCGAGCCCCAAAAACCAAAAAAAATAATAATAATAAAAAAATGCCTGAATGGGTTTTACTGCCAGATGAACTCTGATCGTTACATCTAGTCTGACGCTCAATTTGATTTATGCAGAAAAAGCTGCAGAACTCCATGTGGAAACACTTTTACGTTCTTCTTCAGCTTTCAGTGAAACATCTCAGGTGTGGAACTCACAGTCCTGCTGAGCGCCTGGGTGGACAAAGCAGTCGCTGAAGAGGCAGAACATGGTGCGGCACAAGCTGTCCACCAGGGACTTGGGAGAAGCAAATCTCCAGCTGGACTCCAACACTCTGTCGGGCTCTTCTGTTAACTGGTCCCAAATGTCCTGGATCTTCTCTGGAAGCTCTTGCTGGAACATCTGGGGACAAAAGACATCCATGAGAGCCAGGACGGACCATTGGATCTGTAAACAAATAGCTCAATCAGTCAAGCTGGTTCAGGGCCAGACGAAGATAACCCGTGTTAATTTGAAATCCCATTTTCTAATGAAGATTCAGGGAAAAAAAACTCCCAATACCAACCAGGTGTGGGAATGTTTTATTGATGCTGTGGCATGAATAAAAAGAATTGTTCCACTAAAGAATTATCCTGCTGAAGGAACCTGAAGTTTAAAATCATTTTTAAGTTTTATGTTTTTTTTCTGCTGTCGCTCTTTGTGAAAAGATAAAATAGTTAAATAATCTGAGCTCACGAGTCTGAAGTCGGTGCTCATCTGACCCAAGCGGGGCGAGGTGGGACACAACAGATCGTCTGTTTCTCCTCAGTACTGACAGTGTTCAACCAAATTATTTTAACCGTAAGTCACAACATCTGAGGACTTCCAGTCCTGGTGTTCTGACTCATTACGTCGCCGCCGGCGCTGTGTGGCGACACCAGGACACAGACATTAAAATAGAACAGAACTTCCTTCAGTCTCCTTCACCTCCACCATGTTTCCCACCATGAACAGAATCAACAACTTCATGGGAGACTTTGAGCTTTGAGCCAAATGGGAGAAGAAGTCGGTTTTACCCACCTCAGCAGGATGCGACTGAACAAAGACGCCCTCGGCATCTCTGAAGCGTCTCTCCAGCTCTGCTGAGTACGAGCGGGAAGGATGTCTCTCAGGCAAAACCCGGATGATCTGAAACATCAACTCCTTTTTAGTTCGTAGCATTCATAACGCAATGACTCGTTCATAACAGAAAGAAAAATAGTGTGCTTGGTTTGGGAACCCATCTCACTGAGCTGCTGCTGGAGACACAAAACTAGAAAACACACATTTCACTTGGAATCACGTTGAATTGGTAGAAGACACTTTTGCACCAAGTCTCATATCTGGCCAGGTCACATGGGAAAACAACGTGGCTGCATGTGGATTAATGCCGTCATGCACATACTCTTTTGTAGTAATGAACATAAATATGGCGCGGTGTGGGGGCCAAAATTAAGACTACTGCCCAGCAGCAGGAGGCTATATACATTCCGAAGCAAACTGCTGATCTGATTAATGATAAGCTGGCGCCGGTAACTGAGAGGCTGGCGCTGCTTACTGAGGAATAGCACCTTTACCAGCGTTACTACTAGATACGCTAGGGACTAGCAGCCCTCATTGACTGGTTCACACACTCCCTCTGCTGTCTATTAGCATGGATAGGCTAGCGTTAGCCTGGACGGGCTGGTGTTAGCATTGGAGAGGCTAGCCATTAGCGTGCCTAGGCATGCCACTAGCTGGATTTCCTACCCCCTTGATGGACTTTAAACATGGATAGGCTGGCATTAGCATAGGAGAGGCTAGCCATTAGCATGTCTCATTGTCTCGGAGAGTCACTAGTCAGCTAGTGGCCAGCCTAGGCATGCTAATGGCTAGCCTCTCCAATGCTAACACCTGCCCGTGCAGGCTAACGCTAGCCTATCCATGCTAATAGACAGCAGAGGGAGTGTGTGAACCAGTCAATGACCAACGTATCTAGTAATGTCGGTAAAAGTGCTATTCCTCAGTAAGCAGCGCCAGCCTCTCAGTTACCGGTGCCAGCTTATTATTAATCAGGTCGGTAGTTTGCTTCAGATTTTATATAGCCTCCTGCTGCTGGGCAGTAGTCTTAATTTTGGCCCCCATACCGCGCCATACATAAAGGACTGGAATCAGCAGACAAATGAGTTTATTTATTGACTCTGAGGAAGACGTGGTCCTCGTTTGCATCTTGGAGCAGGATTGCTCTGGTTCAGATTATGAGGGTAGCTTTGTTTTTCATTCAATCAGACATGTAGATGACTCCGAGGAACTTTCCCTTCTCCCCGACCTGTTCTACCCCCCACGTTGTGCCGCTATCAGTTGCAAATGAATGCCAACTGCTGTTTGCACCACCGTGTACTTTAGTATCGCTGTTTGGTCCTTGAATCTGACGATGAGAACGAGTTTGTCCTCAGCCTCCTCTTAAAGTTGTCTTGAGGACTCTAGATCTTTCAAAACTAGAATGAGACCCTGAGACTAAAGAGTTGAAACGGAGAACCCAGCCGTCGCTGAAGCTGCGAGTTCCTGATGCAAGCCTTAGTTTATAAAAACATGGCTTCCTTCTGATTGGTTGGTGTGCAGAAGTGAAAACCGGTCTGATAATAATCAATATGTGTTTGGGTCGGTCCTGACATCCCTGATGAAATCAAATCTCCTTATAAGGTAACAGGAACTTCCTCGTGTGAATTTTCAGGTTGAATGAAAAGTTTCATTTCCCACAGAAACGTCAGTTTTGCAACCGAGTTCACTCGAGTGCAAGAATTAAAAAAACAAAGGCCAATAAATTTAGTGAAGTTAAAACTTCACCGATGCCTGACGGCTCCCAGCTGGACAGATGTGCTGCAGCTGACTGGTGTTTGAGGCTCTAAACACCTGTATTAGATTTGGTGATGAAATGTGGGATGTTGTTTATTAGAAATGTTAATGATTTCACAGCAAATGGAAATATGACTTGTCTGACATAGCCTGTTCGAACAAGAGCTGGGGGGTAAGGATAATCAAACAGAGCTTTCACTTTTATCTGATGTCAGAATTCCCAGAAGAAAAACACGAATCCAACTCTTGCAGGTGAGCGTGGGGGCGGGGTGGGGGGTGAGGTGTACGCTGCCACGCAGAGATGTTTCAATCAGGATGTTTAAAAGCGTAGAACACTGGAAAATCATGTTTTCTAATGGGTCGCCCTGAGTGTTTCACGTTTTAATGTTCTTCCTCCTCGAGTCAACACGCGCCTGTATGCTCCGGAGCAGCATTCATTAAGGCGATCACACTGATCACGATCATTTATCGATCACATCTGATATCAGGCTGCGCAGTCGCAGTGGTTAGAGCTGTTGCCTTGCAGCACGAAGGTCCTGGGTTCGCTTCCCGGCCTGGGATCTTTCTGCATGGAGTTTGCATGTTCTCCCTGTGCATGCGTGGGTTCTCTCCGGGTTCTCCGGCTTCCTCCCACAGTCCAAAAAACATGACTGTTAAGTTAATTGGTCTGTCTAAATTGTCTTTAGGTGTGTGTGTGTGTGTGTTTGTTTGTCCTATGTGTCTCTGTGTTGCCCTGCGATGGACTGGCTCTCTGTCCAGGGTGTACCCCGCCTGACCGCTGGAGATAGCCCCCCCCCCCCCCCCCCCCACACACACACAACCGTACATGGACAAAGCGGGTTCAGAAAATGGATGGATGGTTGACATCAGATATCAAATACACAACGTTTACCTTTTTTAGAACACCCTGGTTGACCTGAAACCACAGCCTCTGTAGGACCAGCTCATCCAAACCCTCCACCTTTAACCTCTAAAGGAAAAGAGAGAGACTGTTGGCATAAAGCTTCAGAATGACATTTTCTTCACATTACTTGACTGGAACATGAAAACTTGAGGCTAAAGGAGAAAGCCTTGTGACTCCTACCATTCTGCTGATAGTTGACAGTTTGAAGATCTCCTCACGATAAACTCGAATGGAGTAGTTTATGGGGAAGTTGTGCTTCTGGAAGAGACAAACCACATTCAAGAAAAAGGTCATCAGTGAATTTATCTGTAACGTTTAAAAAAAACCTAAAATTTCCCTTTGATGTTTTTAACGATTACGGATTTACCAGAGTCGAAAAACACATTTATAAAAAAACCCAGCTGGGAAACAACGTTAAATTGACACATTAAACCTCCTCTCACCATGTAACGTCGCCTGTGGCTCAAGCTGTCGTTGAGTGTCTTCAGGGGCGTGCACATGGCGGCCGGCGTCGACGCCATCAGTACAGGAGCCATCGCATACAAGCCTGCAGCGACAGCAGAGACATGCGATCAGGACTGTCACCGCCGCCTCAGAGCGTGTCGTTTCAAACCCAGACTCGCAGAGTCTGTGCACGAGCCTTTCATGTGTTTCCATCAGCATCTGGTTCTGCTATAATTAAGATAAATCAGAGTCTGGACAGAAAAGTCTTGAAACTTTTATCTAAATAAATCAAACTTTTATTATCAATCAAAGCGCCGTCAGAATGAGTTGTTCTGAAACCAGGCTGGACGGTTTCTGAGAACGGTTCATAAAACAGCAGCTCTGCTTTTTACATCAGCTTTTGCTTCACGGTAAAAGCGTTGGTGGGGCACAGAAATGAAAAATAAATAAATATGGAAATGATTCCAACAAGTTTACGTCTGAATCTAAATGTAAAATGACACAAACTTCATTAAAATACCTATAAAAGCCATCTGGTTTACCTTTAACTGGCAGGTAGAGCACATTTTAGTCCCTATGCTATTAAAACCACCAACATCATGTTAACAGGGACTTTTCTTTTTTACGGTCGCTTTTATTACAGATTTTAGTTTTACTTTTTGTCTCTGATGTTAAAAAGTTGGTGTCTAAACTTTCCTAAAAGGTAAAAATGTGTTTGGGAAGTTTCTGACATCCCGGGATGGGATTGGGTCCATCCTTAACCCACAATGGGAACAGTCTCTGGCAGTCGTTTGTTTTCAGGAGCAGAGATAGCTTTAGGAGAGGGAATCCTTTGTGTGATCCATGTATAATCCCTATCCTGCCCGCAGAGCAACCCTAAACCAAGGAAAACTTGTGAGGAAGCCTCTTTTCCTCACACGGATCCGCTAAATTAGAAACTGTTGAAACTGTTTTTATCCACGAGCAGATCCGAGGCAGATGGGTTCCAGATGGTCAGCTGTGTTTTTAGGATAATCCTCTACACAATCGGAACCAGCGGCTGTGTCAGACAACTAGGAAACTGTCACTCAGAGGTTATTTCAGCACTTTGGGAAAGCATCAGACAACTCCCATCTTTTACTGAGCAAACAAATTCCCAGCAGAATTCCTACTTTAGGTCATTAACATAAACCACACAAGCACAAGAGTCATGTCTCATTATAATAAATGGCTTAGTGTAAAAAGCTGGTGCCACGTAGGAAATGGAAATGAAAACTGAAAATCATTTCCACACAAAGCTGTGAGCATGTGTGTCCCATCTGAGGTGGGAATGATGACCGGCCAAAGCAGGAAGTTGCCACACTTGGAGCTGTGCACGTTCACGCTTCAGAAAAAAGGCTTCGAAGATCGATTTGCAGATTAAAACAGTTAAAGCTGTACGTCTGAGACGGAGTTAGGCCAGCTTCAGTCACGTTCCTGAAGACCTGAAACGGTCCAGTTTCTCGATTTTATTATAACATCTAAAAATGCCAGAAATCCTCATGAAGCCGTTCTCAGCTCAGTCAGCTGAGGGGCATTTTCCTGATTCTGGTTTTAACAGTTTTTAAATTGTTTTGCTTTTGCGGAACCACTGAAGATCCCTGGAAGTGACGTCAGAGAGAACCGAGGCTGCTGCTGCCGCCTCACGAAGGGAAACTCAATCGTCATCTCGTTCAGGAAAATGAAGGAATTTTTCATTTGCATCTCAGAACTCCGTTTGTGACGACTTAAACGTTAAACGGAAAAATAAAGACTTGTCCTTCCTCCATAATCCACGAAACGGCTCTGACCCATGTCACCAACACTTTTCAGGAAAGCTTAAATGTAGAGATTTACCTCAGTCTCCAAACTCTGCAGCATGACTGGGTCTGAGTCACCAAGCTCCAGCCCTTCTAACCCAAACTTGATCTAGCAACGTCCCACGACTCCTGCAGAAGCCTCAGATCCTCTCTGTCCCTCAGACACGCTGCAGCTGTCACCCACATAAAACACAAACAACCCCCTCATCTCATCATCTCAGGCAAGGTGGTCCGAGGGACAAAATCATCTTGTGGGAGGAAAAAGTTAGACATTTTTTCTATTTAAAAATAGCAAACTATGTTACGATTTTATGCACAGGTGTGTAACAAGGGCTGTTTTCCATTTAGAAAAGGTTTTCCTCTCTCGTTAAACCACCTGTGACCCCCGACGCCTCCCCATGGTGCTACAGATCCCTGCACACCAAAACCACAACACATAAAAGTCGGGCCATCGGGAATCAAACACAAACAAGTACTGAAGCCTTCAACCGCTTGACCCATTTTTCATGTCCGTTTGTGTTTACTCAAGTCCTCACTTTGTTGTTCAACATTTATGTTTGTTTTGGTCCAACAGCAAAGTGAAACTGGAGTCAGATTCCTTGTGCATGCAACAAACTCCACCAAGTAAACCGGATCCATTTCTGCAGAAACTCCTGGAGCCATTTTCAGAAGGTGTGATTATCAGTGGATAGTAATAATCGGTGACTGGTTATAGTTAAACCTCAACTAAAAACGTTTCATTTGGCGTTGTGCTGAATTGGACGTTTCAGTTTAGGAACAAACAAATGCATTCGTCTTTTGCATCACGTGAGCATCCGCCTACTATCTGCTCCTTCTGAGCAGAGTGAGCTACGCTGGAGCAAACAGCCGGTTGGTGAGGAGGTGGTGGTAGGTGGGGTCGACAGCTCCAGGTGAGTCTGGTCGGCAGGCAGGAGTCCTGCAGCTCCTCTCTTTAGTGCTGCGGTGGGAAAATAAACTTCTCAGATTAAAGAAACCTGCTGATGTTGTCCTGGATGTCCAGGTTGCTCCGTAGCTGAACACAAACAACACAGCTGGGAAAAAAAGGGACTGAGATCTGCAGCTCAGGTGGGAATCCTCGTCTTTAAAACCCTCTTTGGCCTTCACATTTCATTCTGTGGGGTCACGGGGGGGGGGGGGGGGGGGGTCACAGGTGGCTTAAAGGAGATGTACAGTTGGATGTCATCTGCTTAAAGATGGTAGGAGGTTTCTTTAAAGGAGCTCAGGATGTGCTGAAGAGGAAGCAGAGGAGGAAGAGTAGGGGCCCCAGCACAGAACCTTGTGGGACACCATGGGTGAGAGTAGTGGTGGAGGACCTAAACTCGGAGACGGCCACAGAGAAGGAACACTCAGAAAGATAAGAGGATAACCACTCCAGAGTAGTTCCTGATAGGCCTACCCCGTCTCTCAGCCCCAGCAGGTGATGGTCAACAGTATCAAAGGCTGCAGTCAGGTCCAGCAGGACCAGAACAGAACCGTCCCCTGCATCACTGTGGGTCAGAAGGTCATTAGACCCTAAGAAGAGCTGTTTCGGTGGAACGAGCTCTACGAAAACCTGACTGGAAGCTATCATAGAGGTTGTGTTCATCAAGAGCAGCTGTGAGTTGTTTAAAATCAACTTCACAGTTCTCAAACTCCTCCCAAAGTTGTCTCACATTCAGAATCAGGTTAAATTATCAGCTGTTCAAATTATAATATTCATCGCATCATTTTAGACTATCGTTCATGTCACGGTGTCCCAAAACCGCAGAACCAAGAAGTTTTAAACATTTAGCTGCACACTTACAGTGTGTACTATGGTGAAATAAAACAAAGACCAGCCGAAGCTGAGGCTTCCTGGCAGAATTTGTTCATCTTTGGCTGCTAGAATACTGAAACTTAGGTTTCTGTGCGCCACACGTAACTGAGAACATGGCTGAAGGGGAGGGGCTATGTGAAGGTGAGCTGAGGGGAAGAGGCCTGCTGCAGGTAAATTATTAATTTAAGCACAAAATTCACATAAAAATCATCTACAGCCCTCTAGAAGTAAAAACTGTTTAGTTAGTTCCATTAAAATATGTGATACATGCAAACCCAAATACAGAGAAGATGTGAGCTAGCATCAGCCTCACTCAGCCAAGTCTTCCAAAAGGAAAATCCATCAGCAGAATTTACAGGAAAAGCCCCATAATCCTGTTTTATGTGAAAAACTGGCTTTAATTTGCACCAGGCAGCAGCAGCTTTAGTGTGCAGATATCAGGCTTTACTTACAATTCAAGTTTTACTGTTGATCACATAAACAACACCTTCAAAAGGAAGCAGAACTGACCGGCGCTGATGTTCACATGTAGGAAAAGAAAATATGAGCCAAACGAATGATGCTGTGGCATCGGAGTCCGCTTCAGGTACAGTCAGATTAGTTGAATCAGGGGATGGAAGCAGGCTGTTCCTGGATGGAATTTTACTTATAAAAACCTGATGTGGCGTAACAGAGGTTAAACCTCCAAAGAATGAGGAATAACCTCACAGCTTTTGACACACCTGAAGGTTGCCATCATCAGAGTTTAAAGGGACATTATGGAAGTTTGACAGCCAAAACATGTATAGAAATAATAAATGTCTTCTTCATACATTCTTCTGCAATGCCCTGGTCCTGTAGAATGAGCCCTGGCATTTTTACTGTGATTGCCTGTTTTTCTGTAAAATCACAGAAAAAGAGAGATGCTCGGGTCGAGCAGGCTGCTTCATGCGCGTTCACGCTCAGGCATCGCCCGTAGCGTTAGCTATCCGTAGCTTTAGCAGCAGAGAGAGAGGCAGTGCCACTTTGTCGCTGTTCGTAACGCCTAGTGACAAAGCTAGCTACATTTCTGAGGACCCTTAGCTACTTTCTGTAGAACTTTCTTCTAGATATTTCTTGCAAATTAGCAACAAAATAGCCATTTTTGCTCCAAACTGTTCTTTGAACGTTGTTTCAGCTGTCATCAAGGATATAAACGTTACAGATATAAAGGATGTCACTGTTGCTTTAGCTCACCTAGTAAGACGTCGGACTCCCATGCAGATGTCCTGTGTTTGATTCTGGATGTGAACATAGTTCATTTAGAGTTTCTTTTTTACATTAATGGTATATTTTTTTTACAGTAAGATGTCCAAATTCTTATTTGAGACTCGCCGAACGGCATTGAATTGACAGATAAAAAAGATGTGGGTTCAACTTTCATTTTGGAACAATTTTTCAAGCAAGGGAAGGGAATGATCTGAGCATGCAGGAGGACTGACCCATCATAAA